ATGGGGATCAGCTGAAGGTCAGCTGATGCGAGCTTGACTAACATGACCTGCCAGAACTAACGCTACACTTGATATGGTGCATTATATTGAACATTTTTTATATCGTTACCGAAGAAGGTGTACCGTAGATAAATATCGATACCGTTTTATCGCCCAGGCCTATGTCAAAAGTTATAATCCATCTCTTGGGGGAAAATAACAGTGGATGACTGTTCTAACAGAAGAAAAGCCAGCAATCTGCAAGAAAAAGATCAAGTGATCTCACTTCATGACCAGTGGATTTAAAGGAATAGTTCACCCAAAAATGAAAATTTGCTGAAATTTTACTCATTTATCGCCCAGGCCTATACTAGCCTTTCGAGAAATTTTGAGAGGAATATCAATGTGAGTGGCCCTTGCTAAAGGGAATTGAGCCATATCTACAGACCAGAATATCATAAAGATATTGGGTAATGTAAAAATTTTGTTTATTTTACTCTGTGTTAACCTTCATGCTATCTTCCATTCATAATTAATGTTAAAATTAATTAATTAATTAATTATTATTATTATTATCTTCCGGTCATTTTGACCCAGAGATTTTCTTTTTCCAAAAAATGCTAGTTAATGTTATTGCATTGGTCTAACTATTGTATTGGTCTGACTTTGCTCACACCGGGATACAATTTCCTCCAAAAATTGGATAATTTTTGTACTTGTCAGATTTTTTCCCCAACCTGTTACACTTGTGCCTGACCTACAAAAAATGCTTATAAATGTCTCATTATGCTATATTAATATCTGAGAAATTCACCTCAGTTTTTTGCGTGAACATTGCCGCAATTATCTACAAATAATGTTTTTTTTCACTCAGTAACTGAGGCCTACGACCAATCATTTCCAAAAAGAAATACAAAAACCTGTGCTAAGTGAAAGAAAACAAGTTGACAAAAAGATTGAATCCAAGATTTGGTAATATGCAGCACAAGCAATTTGCAAAAGGCTGTTGATTTTTGACTGGGAAGACATAATTAGGTAAAGGACTCTCAGCTCAGCACACAGGTTAATGGATATTTCGTTCAGTTTGTGTTTGTGAATCCCCATGCGCTTTCACTTGTAGGAACAGGCCTCCTGGGTGTGCCGGTGTGAGGATCGGGTGGTGCAGCGGCTGGAGCAGGACTTCAAACTGACCCTCCAGCAGCAGAACTCTCTGGAGCAGTGGGCAGCCTGGCTGGAAGGTGTGGTCTCGCAGGTCTTAAAGCCGTACCAGTCTAGCTCTGCCTTTCCAAAAGCAGCTAAACTCTTCCTGCTGAAATGGAGTTTTTACAGGTGAGCCTCGAAAGGGTGTACCAACATTAGGTTTGTGGACATCATTGGCGGGAAGGACAAGAAGATGATGTGACACATCAGTTCTGTTCTAAATCCTAGATCTACTATCTACAGTTGATGCATAGCACAATATTGAGTTTTTAGTTAATTACAATACAGTTCAAAAGTTTGAGGTTGGAAATATTTTTAATGTTGTTGAAATAAGCCTCTTATGTTGGGTGCATTTATTTGATGGAAAATACAGTTAACAACTACTGTGAAATATAATCAGAATTTAAAATATAGTTTAAAGTGTCATTTATTCAAGAAACATGTCTTGTTAAAAACAACTATGCTGCTTAATATTTTTGCTGTGACTGTGATACTTTTTTTTTTCAAGATTTTTTGATGAATAGAAAAAGAACTGCGTTTATTTTAAGTCTTTACTGTCCCTTTTGATCAGCTGAATGCATCCTTGCTGAGTAAAAGTATTAATTTCTTTCAAACGAAAAATCTTACTGAGCCCTAAACCTTCAAACAGTGGTGTAGGTATAAAATAAAACAATTAACTTAAAGTAAAAAAATAAAACTATAAAAAAATACATTGAATTTATAATAAAACATTTAATTTGAACAAATTTTGTATTTTAAAAACTTTAAATGAAGTATTAATAATAAGTTATATTTTAATATATTTGAACATTTTAATATAATTTTAATTTTTAAATAAATAAAAAATGGATAGTATATCTATTTTTAAATAATTTCGTTAGCAATATATACAGTATATATATATATATTTATTGATTGATTGATTGATTGATTGATTGATTGCTGAATAGCATATACTATACCTCTACCTAATTTCCTCTGACTCTGTTGGCCATATTGAAAAAGTTCCTGAAAATGTTGTCAGTTCATTCTAGGATTTGTTGCTGGTACTGATACATGCAGTGCCCTCTTAGGTTTATCTATCAATGAATCCTCTAAGGCAGTGTCTTCACGTTGCGTGCTAGGTTTTAGAAGAGAGTTGTAATGACTGTTGGAGCCAGTAACTGTAATGTCAACTATGTTTCTCTCTTACTCATCATGTCTTACCCAGCCCACTGCTCTCTTCTGGTTCTCACACTTCCTGTATCTTTTCTTTGTTCTCTCTTTAGCTCTATGGTGATCCGAGACCTGACTCTCCGCAGTGCTGCAAGCTTCGGCTCATTTCACCTAATCCGCCTGCTTTATGATGAGTACATGTACTATCTGATAGAGCACAGAGTTGCCCAGGCCAAGGGTGAAACTCCCATTGCTGTCATGGGAGAGGTACAAACACACTCAGACACAGAAATCTTTACCTGATCTCAGACAAACTTCTCATTTCAGTGTGTAAGACAAAACTAAAGTGCGTCACTCCTCTCATAAAAGGATATTAAACTGAGGAACTGTGAAAGACCGATTATGACTGTAGTGTTTGAAATGTCATAATTTTCTCTCTTTCGCTCCTTAAGTTTGCAAGTCTTGGTCGAAGTTTGAACCCGCTTGATCCTGATAAAGGTTAGTAGTTTTACACACAAACCCCAAATACACAATAATCAAGTCACAGATTTGTAATAGTTTCTTCTTCATTTACTAAATTCAGGTTTTAGTGAAAAAAAAAAATCAATCAGTTAAGTTCCCTAAGCACCCAAGCAACCACATAGGAATGCACTAAAAACTCAGAACACCACATAGCAACCAACAGGCAAACAGCCAATTAAAAAATGAAACTATAATAATTCAATTAAATTTATAATAATAATCATTATTATAATTATAATATAGATGATTATAATTTTAATGCAATTTTAAAATAATTAAAATGATTAGATGGATTATCAGTATTTTGAAAAAAAATGTTGACACATTGAATTTTTAATAATAAAACTGTATTTTAAAATGAAGTAATGATAATTGTCATTCATTTTTATTGTGATTTTAAAATAATTAAAAAATACCAGATGGATTATCGATATTTTGAAAGAAGATTAAAAAATATAAATATATAAATAATATAAATTATTATTTACAGTAATTTTTAATTAATGTAAGTTAAATTCAGTTAGTTAATGTAGTTAATGTATTTCAATGCAATAATTAAAAATATCAAATGTTTTATCAATATTTTGAAAAAATATTACAAATAAAAATATAAAAATATATTGATTTGGTAAAATGTATATGTATTTAAAATAAAGTAATTATTATTTTCACTACATTTTAATTTTGTAATTTTGTACATTTTGTAATTTTAAAATAATTAAAAAATATCAGATGGATTATCCATTTTTGAATGAAGTAATAATTATTATTAATATTAATTATCAGTCATTTTTATTGTAATTTTAAAATAATTTAAAAATACCAGATGGATTATCATGATTTTGAAAGAAGATTAAAAAATATGAATATAAAAATACATTTAATTTATAATAAAATAATGAAATTGTATATGTACTAAAAATGAAGTGATTATTAATTACAGTAATTTATAATGAATGCAAATGACATTTTAATGTAATACAAAATATCAAATATATTATTAATATTTTGAAAACAAAAATATTACAAATAAAAACATTGATTTGGTAATAATAAAAATGTCTATATTTAAAATAAAGTAATTATTATTTTCACGAATGTATAATGGGATTTAAAGTTGATTGTAATTTTAAAATAATTTTAAAAATATCAGATGGATTATAAATGTTTTTCAGTACTGAATAAAATATATGTATTTTTATAACTGACAATCTCTATATGTCTTTGTGTCTCAGAAGAGGAAGAGGAGGAGGAGGAAGACAGCGACGATGAGTGTCAGGAGTTGTCTCTGCAGTCTGATGGGGGCGCTATCGGGGACGAATCTCTAGAACCGCCCGCTAAGCTGGCTCGAACCGACCAGAGGGTGCTGTTCACCACAGGAAGCATGGATAACTAAGAACTTGAATACACACATGCACCTACAAGCACACGCTCCACATAACACTCGCCCATCATTCCTGCACTTAAACCAACACATGCATCTAAAAAACAGAAATGCTGCAGCTGCGTATTTACACAACATTTCAGATGTTCATATGTACATTTCCATGCCCGTCGACTTCTCAAATGCACATATACACAAGCGTTCACTGAAACACAGAGACACAGATAGTGCCGCCCTCACACACTCATAACATGAGCACCATCAACGATCATTTCAAGATCTTAGACAGGGTGTAGAGGTCACTAACAATAGCTCTCGAATCTAAACCTGATTCTGTCTCTATTAGCTCTTAAGACGCAAGAACAAAAATGAAACCTGCTGCAACTGGATCCTAAGAGTCGTTCGCGATAGACTGAACTCTGATTGGCTACTGAAACCTGAATGAAACTGTCAGTCAAGCTTTTTTTAACCTGAAATGGTTGTTAGGGAGAAAAGATGGACTGTAAGTGTGCGTGTTGTGTGTTGATGTATACTTTCTGCCTATCCGTGCGTTGTTCGTGTGATTGTGAGTGACCCGGGACCTTATCGTTTTTATCGGCTAGCGCCAACGCGTGTGTTTTTGTGCATGATGTGTGAATGACCGTCCATGGTTCTCAAGAAGTGTTGATAGTTGTTTTTGTCAGTGGTACCTTTTTAAGTTCTTGATGCCTTCAGTGACTGCCATGTCAGTAAATGCGTTAAGCATATTACAGCTCGGCTCTTTAAAAACTCAATTTCCCATGAGTCTACTGGGTGTATGTGATTCAGCTGGGTTGTGTATTTTTGCTTTTTTTTTTTTAGGGCTACCTCTGCAAATGACAGCAGTTTGTCAGAAATGAGAGGAGAGGTCAACTCCCAACCCCTCCCCCCCAGTCTGGTTTTCCTCTCACTTCTTATTTTTTTATATGGTTTTTCGTTCTGTTTTGTTGCACTTTTTCTTCTTGCCAAATGTCGTCCTGAGCTTGGCACAAGACATTAAATGTTTCTGTCCTTACATACTTTTTTCTATGGTCACAAAGTGACAATCTCGATGTGCACAGCGTTGTCTAACACTGTTTAGTGCATATTTGATGGTTTGCTGTGTGTTTGAGATTTGGGTCAAGATATTTTACTAGAACCCTTCAAACAAACTTGACACCACTGCCCATAGTAGCTAGGAAATGTCAAAGTAGAGAGCGAAACGATCTTTCGGCCATTTCCTTCTCAAGACTCGTTCATTTAATTCTGTTCTTGTGTTGTGGCATATTTAATGATCAATTTGAGAGAGCTACAGTACATTAAAACTTTATATCCCATATCATTCGACATATGTAAACTACGATTATTTCTGCTGTAGATGCTGACTGATCTCAAACCAGCATGATGCTTTTCTTTCCCTCTGATTCTCTTGATCGAACAACAGGAAACATATCAGAAGATCTGGAGATCCTCTGTATGACAGCCATTTTCATAACAAAATGAATTTCCCTTTTCACTTTTTTGAAGTTGTTTCCATTTCTTGCTCAAAAAAAGGGGGGGGGGAAACAAAACAAAAAAAAGTGTGGCAGTGTTTTGAGTAATCTGAACGATGAAAATGGTTGTGCCTTTGCAGTTATCAAATGAAATCCAGATGTTTTTAATTTAAAATATGAATAAATGAATCATTTCTAAAATTGTGAATTGTTTCAACTATCTAGTTGTATGTACTTTTTTGGTCAACTACTCTTGAATCCATCACACCTACGCTGTGATAATGATTCGTCAGTGCCTTACTAACTGTAGTCTTAACATCAGTGTGCGACATCCTGTCCAAAACCAGCAAACGTGACAAGGAAACATCACATGTGGTAAAGAGAGGGGGTTTATGAGTTTACTTGTCAAGGTACTTTCCTGTCAGATTGTCACATTATGTATCTCGTAGACGTTTCTGAGAAAAGCAGCCCATCGATATCAAGAAAAAAGTTAGGGCAAAGCCAGCCACACTTGACGGTACAAAGAACCAACAGAAAGAAAGCTGACTTCCTTTCAGAATGAATTAAAAGTGTTTATATTACATACTACCGTCAAATGTTTGGAGTCAGTTTTGAAGCCTCTTGTGCTCACCTAGGCTGCATTTATTTGATAAAAAAACAACAACAACAGTAAAAGCAGTAAAAAAAAAAAACCTTACTAACCCACCTAAGGCATTTGAAATATAGTGTGTATGTCTGAATACACACACACACACACACACATACACACACACACATATATATATATATATATATATATATATATATATTTAATGCACTTTATAACAAGTCATCATTATTTTGATAGTACTTTATACAATAGTAATAGTTTCAAAGCAGTTTAAACAGGAAAGTAACAATCAAAGATGCAAATCAGTTGTTAAGTAAAGCACTGTAAAGATAGAGACTTGTTCCCTGTAGATGTCTTTGCCGAAGTTCAGAAGGTCAGGTGGAAATTTTCAGTCAGACCACAATGAGCTTGCTTTGAAAATCTGCAGTCCTCCAAATAGGTTCTCACTGGTATCAGTGGTTTCCTTTGCTGTTTGCTCACCTGTAGATTTCCCAGGCCAGTCAACTTGAGTTTCTTCTCAGTTGTTCGTAGGAAAGCATCCTGTAATTTCTCAAAGATCTTAAAACTGAAAACATTGTGGTACATTTTTATCCATAACACGTGCTTAGCACAGATACTCCGGGGAGCTTCCATGTGCCATCAATAGGGGGCAGAATAATACTGCTTTTTTGTTTTCAGTGTTGTTGGCACACATGGCACAGGACAGCTAAGAGTAATGGGACATTATAATTAGACTTCAGACACCACAGTAAGCTGTTAGTTTATCAAACCTGGTGTATTTTATTTGAATTGTACACTCGTAAAAAATAAAGGTTCTTTATTGGCATTGATGGTTCAATGAAGAACCTTGAACATTGTTGAACTTTTTCACTGCACAAAACATTCTTTTTTTAAGGTTTCATTTCATTTTTTAAAGTTGTGTCCCAAATGACGCACTATACACTATGCACTTATTCTATTCACTATGTGGGCTACTGAGTGTTGACAGTTGAATGTTTGAAGTGTTCAACATTCACTCTTTTCTTTTTTTTCTTCTTTTTTTTAAATCAGTGCATCATCCGGTGATTTGAAGTGCACTTTTTCTTTTTGGAATTTTTAGTGTGAACACACCAATAACGTTTTTTATACTATGTCATAGAATGAAAAACATTTTTTTCTTTTGTCTTCACTTGGTGCAAATTCACAGGTTAGAGTTCACCAAACTTGAGCTTTGACTTCTTTACATGTGCTTGCGTTTCAGGTCTCCTGCATTCGCATGCATATGTATATGTATTCATATATGAACGCAAGTCTGTGGAATGAAAAGTGTAGTGTGACAAGCCCTTAAAGGGTTGGTTAACCCAAAAATGAAAATTGGCTTGTGTTTTACTTACCCTCGAAGCATCTTAGCTGTATATGACTTTCTTCTTTCAGATGAATCCAGTCGGAGTTATATTAAAAATTGTCCTGGCTATTCCAAGCTTTATCATTGCAGTCAGCGGGTGTTGCAGTTGAACAGTCCACAAGTCGTCAAATAAAGCGCGCGCATTCATAATAAAACGTGCCTCACATGGCTCCGGGGGTGAATAAAGGCCTTCTGTAGTGAATCTATGCGTTTTTGTAAGAAAAATATCCATATTTCAAACGTATAAACACTTTTCTCTCACTTCCGTTGTCTGTCATACGCGGAAGGCGTATGATGTATGCGTAGCGCGCGCCTCTGAGATATGCTAGTCTGATGAGTTTGTTTATTGCTTGTTAAGTCTGACGTCACATGTCACTGCTTCCGTGTCCAAACACTCTATCAGATACCACGAGAAAACAACAAAAGGTGCTAATATACACTCACAATGTGATATAATACTACCAAAAAAAATTATAATCCTAACCTTTAACTCCATACCGAAATCCCAGATAGCCAGACAATGAAAATATAAATAAATAAATATAAAAATTATTTGTGTTTGGGACGCTGTCAGCATGAAGACTAGTGTAGACCGTAAGTTTGAAAACGTTTAGCTTAAATGTTTAATATGAATAAACAGTGCTCATAAACGGCTGCTGAGTTAGTATTCTCAAGTGAAGCGAGTTGAGACTTGGACCCGGAAACAGCGCTTCTTACGTCACCACTTAACAACCGAATAGGAGCAAAGGAAGCAAAGTTTCCTTATTTTAGCAAAGGAAAACCAGTCTCCTCTTGGCTTATATCGAAATCCTCCGACATTTTTCTTTGCAAATCTTCGGTTTGTACTTCTAATTCGTGACCGGCGTTTTGTTTTGTTGTCTCTCCGCGTTCGTCACTAATCACGCAACGTCGACGTGCTAGGTCATCCGCCGGAACGGCTTCCGCGTATGACAGTTGGCGGAAGTGATATAAAAGTGTTTATTACGTTTGAAATATGGATATTTTTCTTACAAAAACGCATGGATTCACTACAGAAGACCTTTATTCACCCCCCGGAGCCGTGTGAAGCACGTTTTATTATAAATGCGCGTGCTTTATTTGATGACTTGTGGACTGTTCAACTGCAACACCCGCTGACTGCACTGATAGAGCTTGGAGTAGCCAGGACAATTTTTTTAATCTAATTTCGACTGGATTCTTCTGAAAGAAGAAAGTCATATACACCTAGGATGCTTCGAGGGTGAGTAAAACACAAGCCAATTTTCATTTTTGGGTGAACTAACCCTTTAAGAGTGTACACCAAGTTTAAAGAAGTGCACAAATTGAATGTAGTTTAAGTTTTATCTGGTTTGGCACCATCCAACAGCTCCAGTACTTGGCTGCAGCTGTTCGCCCAGATGCTTAATAACAACTGCTTTCTATTCTTCAGGACTGCATGAATGCGTTTGAACCTTATGTGACACGGACCAATAATCTCTGATCAACAGACTGATCAGTACATCGTGGAGGCTTCTCAATTATATATTTATATGGTCAATTATATGGCTTTAATTATAGCTGTACTTCAGGGTTATTATTATATAATTTACTTAGTTTAAGCTGGAGTACTAAAATCACTAAAACTAAACTAAAACTTTTTAACTTAAATTAAAATGGAAATAAATGATTTATATATATACTGTATATATATATATATATATATATATATACAGTGTGTGTGTGTGTGTGTGTATATGCGTGTTTACAGTATGTGTACAGGAGGAAATAACCAAAGGCGAGCCTAAGCGCTGCTGAATTTTGAGTAGCTATAACTCGAGGTGTCGTGAAAGTGCTGCCGTGATACTGAGGGTAGTCTGTTCATTCGTCAACTGCAGGTGCATGTGTGCGTGTATGTGTTGAGGAATAGTTGTGTTTGCGTTTGCATGCAGATGTCCTTCGACTGAGTCAGCGTGTGTGTGTGTGGGGGGCGTCGGGAGGCGCTGA